TTCTCCAAAGCAGATAGAAGGAAGTCTGCATTGCTTGGGGTGCTTCAGTGCAAAGAGGATTCCTTTCCTATTAAATACTTAGGCTTGCCTCTTTGTCCAAATGGTCCAAAGAGATCTCATTGTAAGGATCTGGATAAGGTTTCTAGCAAGTTAAATTGCTGGAGTACTAAAGCTCTTTCTGTTGCAGGCAAGGTAGAGTTGATCAAGGCTGTGATTACCCTTATTTTTCAATATTGGTGTTCAGTTTTTGATATCCCAATGGCTGTGATAAACCAGCTTCAAAAGGTATGTAGGGACTTCCTCTGGGGTAGTAAGGACCATTGAAGTGGGAGTGTATCACTATAACAAAACCAGAAGGTGGCTTAGGCATTCAAAAATTGGTGGACATCCAGGTAGCCTCTAGATGCTCTTTCGTCTGGGATTTCTTAGCTAGTAAGGATAGGTTGTGGATTTCATGGTTTAAACATAAATATGTTCCTCTAGCAATTTATTGGTCTGTGATTCCTCGAAGTTCAACCTCTGTTATTTGGAAATCCCTGGTGGCAGGTTTTTTTTTTTTTTTTGATAGGTAAATAAGGAATTTTCATTAAAATAAAAGTGCACCATAAAGGGTGAGCGAACCCTTAACAACTAGAAAAGAAAGGCAGGCACCAAAAAACTACTACAAATGTAAGGTGTCCACGAACTCCATGAGATTAACCGCAGAGAAGCAACTTCTTCCTTTCACCCAGAAGTAGAGAGAGTGTAAAATATTTGATTTAATCACCCAAATCGGGGACTCTACTCCTTCAAAAGCTCTCTAATTCCTCTCTCGCCACAGGCTCCACCATATACAAAGCGGAGTTGTCCTCCACGCATCTCTAACTCTTCTAATCGCTTGTCCCCCTCTCCACGCCTCTAACATCCCCTATGTGTCGTTTGACAAACACATTTCACACTAAACATAGCAAGGAAAATGGCCCAAATATCCGATGCTATTGGACGATTCAACAACTAATGGTTAACAGATTCCCCCTCCTTTTTGCACATAAAGCACCAATTGACATCAATATGGCGTCTTTTCCTTAGGTTATCAATAGTAAGTATTCTTCCAAGTGACGCCGTCCATATGAAAAAGGCTACCTTAACGCGAGCTGAAGTTTTCCAAATAGCTTTCCAAGGAAAAGCCTCATGAACAGACTCCGATAAAATGATCTCACCTCCAAGACCCCACTGGAGCTTCCCATCCACACCATCCTATCTGTTCCCTCCCTCTTCACCTCTTGGTTATACAATAAGCCCATCAAGTCAGTAATTTCTAAGAATTCCCAATCTTTAAAATTCCTGCAGAAAATCACATCCCAATTTACTCTCCCATTATCAAGACGATAGTAGTTTGCAACCATGGCATGCTTATTTACGGCAATTCTAAACAAACGAGGGAATCTTCTCGCCAATTCAATATCCCCGCACCACAAATCCTTCCAAAACCTAACGTTCCTTCCATTCCCCACTCTAAATCTTATTCTTCTGGAGAATTCGTCCCAGCCACTCCTGATACCTTTCCACACACCCAACCCTGCTGAAATAGATACCTCACAAGACATCCAGCCACTCCTCTCTTCATTGAACCTGCAAGCTATAATCCTCCTCCACAACCATTCCTCTCGCCCCCAAATCTCCACAACCACTTCCCAAGCAAAGCTTTATTCACCCATTCCAGCTTACGAATTCCCAAACCACCTTTCTTTATGGGGTTACACACTGTCTCCCAATTCACAAGGTGATACTTAAACTCTTCTCCCATGCCTCCCCACAGAAAATTCCCCTGAATTTGATTTAGCCTTTGTGCAACTGTACTGGGCAATGGAAACAAGGACATGAAATAAGTAGGTAAATTGGAAAGAGTGTTTTTCAGCAAGGTAAGCACCTTTTGATAGGTACTGCTTCTTCCACCCCGTAAGCCTCTTTTGGAAGCGCTCAATTACTAGATCCCACACTGTAACTTTCCTCATTGATTATCCCAAAGGTAGCCCCAAGTACGAGATCGGCAGCATCTCAACCCCACAACCCAAGATATCAGCTAACTCTTGTATTTGCGGCACTTCTCCCACTGGAACAATAATGCATTTCCCAACATTAATTTTCAGCCCTGAAACTACTTGAAAACAGGCCAGAATGCATTTCAGATGTCTCATCTGAGATACAGTTGCATCACAAAACACAATGGTGTCGTCAACAAAAAGCAAATGAGATGTGGCAATCTGATTAGTGATGGTCCCTACTGAGAAACCATGAATGAACCCCAGAAACTCCGCCCTTTTCATCAACCTACTAAATGCTTCCATCACGATAATGAATAAAAATGGGGAGAGGGGATCCCCCTGATGTAATCCTCTCGTGTTTGCAAAGAAGCCTGCTGGTGATCCATTCACGAGGATAGAGAACCGAGCTGAGCTAATACAATGAAAGATCCAGCTTCTCCATTTGGAACCAAACCCCATCTTTTCCAGTAAATACATCAAAAAGTGCCAATTTACATGGTCGAAGGCTTTTTGGATGTCTAATTTATAGACAATACCCGGAATACCACTCTTGTATCTAGCATCTATACATTCACTAGCAATCAGTACCGGGTCAAGAATTTGTCTTCCACCTACGAAAGCATTTTGGGATTCCGAAATGACACCGTCCAAAACCTTTCTTAGCCTAATCGCCAAAATTTTCGCAATGATCTTGTACACAGAACCTACCAAGCTAACTGGTTTGAAATCTTTGGCCTCCACTGCTCTTCCCTTTTTAGGAAAAAGTGTGATGAACGTAGCATTCAGGCTTCTCTCAAAGTATCCATTAACGAAAAAAGCACCCACAGTTTTCATCACATCCGACTTCAGCGCCTCCCAATTCTTGTGAAAGAATGCCATTGTAAATCTGTCAAGACCCGGCGCTTTATCCCCATCACAGCTCATTACGGCTTCAAGCACTTCCTCCTCCCCAAAAGGTCTTTCCAGCCAATTATTATCCTCATCCGAGATGCTGTTGAATTCTAGATTATCCAGCAGAGGCCTCCAACTGGCAGACTCAATAAATAGGTTCTTATAGTACTCCACTAACCCTGCCCGGATTTCACCATCTGTTGATGCCGTAAACCCATCAAAGATCATCCTCCCAATACTATTTCCTCTTCTGTAAGCATTCACTAAGCGAGGAAAAAAATTAGTATTTCGATCCCCTTCTTTAAGCCACAATGCTCTAGATTTTTGTCTCCGTGAGATTCCCTGCATCGGCACAATTTCTTACTCCTCCCTTTTACTTCTATCCATTATGTCAAGACCCACCTCACCCTCCTTTCTATCCAAGGCAGATATCTCCATGAGTAAACGGTTCTTTCTCCACTCCAAGTTTCCAAACTCCTTTTTTTTCCATACTTTAATGTCATTCTTCAAGTGTTTTAATTTTTCTGCTAGTTGAAAGCTGGGACTACCCCTTAGATCATATTCACCCCACCAATTCATAACCCTTTCCTTGAAGTCGTCTACACGAAGCCACATATTCTCGAATATGAATGGGGATCTTCCTCTCCTAATCCCTCCACAGTCAAGCAGAATGGGAATATGATCAAAAACAGCCCTATCACAGGCCACCTGTGACACATCAGGGAACTTCTCTTCCATCTCCACTGAAAGTAAAAATCTGTCCAGCCTAGACATGACAGGAAAATCACGCTCACTAGACCATGTGAAAATACCTCCCTCCATCGGTAAATCTAGCAAGCCATGAGCCTCCACAAAGTCTGAAAACTCAAACATTGCATTATCAAAAGGCCCCCTTGAAGATCTCTTGTATGGTCTGAGTACAACATTAAAGTCCCCTCCCCCCAATACACCAGGGAACATCCCATCTGCTTCTAAGATTACTCAGCTCTTCCCATAAGTCTCTTCACTCCTTATCATCCACTGGTCCATACACTCCACAGAAAGACCACCTTGACCCATCTTCTTCAAATTGAAACATAATGGATAACGAATACCTTCCTTTCCACACATCAACTTTTGAGATCCATCTTCTATCCCAAAACATAGCAATTCCCCCGGCCGTCCCCACTGCATCTATGGCCTCCCATCCACAAACCTACTTCCCCATAAGCTATTCATGACTAAATTTTCAGCTTTATCCAGTTTTGTCTCCTGTAAGCATACTACTTGAGCCTTCCACTTCCTAATTAAAGCCTTTATTACCCTCCTTTTGTTCGGGTCATTTAATCCCCGAACATTCCATGACATAATGTTAAGCTTCATTAGTCCACCTTTACCCCTCCACCCCTCCTCCTCCCTCCACTCCTCTTCTCTCTCCCCACTTTCAAGTGGGAGATGGTCAATCTATACTTCTTTTTCAGGATCCTTGGTGTGGAGGACAAACAGGTGCTTCAAAATTTGGCAAGATTAGTAAGGTTGCTGAATTTACCTAGAAATTCTAATCTGAACTCTATCGTTCAGAGAGGGGCTTGGGATTTACAGCTACTACAGAGCACTGAATTTGTAGCTTTTAAAGAGTTTCTAACTTCTGTTGTGATTCATCAAAGGGAGGACAAGCTCTTGTGGGATGGAGGGAAGTCTTGGGATAGTGTTAGAGAAGCCTCTGAAGAGGTGGAGTGGTATACTCTGTGCTAGAACAAGACCAGACCTAGATGGTCAACTACAACAGTGTTTGTGATGTTAGATATGCTACCCTCTATGTGCAACTTGCATAAACGAAAAATGAAGCTTGCCTCTAGGTGGACTCTTTGACAGAAAGAGATTGATATCAGAGACCATATCTTTGTCTCATGTTCTTTTGCTCTGATTGATCGGTATAATAACTTCAGGTAACCCAATTTCACACTATAGCTTAGGACACACACACAATACACACTCAAGCACATTTTATACTCAGAAATTTAAAGTTCTAGCAATCAATTATTTACTAAACTTATTTCAAAAAAATTCAAACAAAGAGTTTTAAACAAGTTGCACCAAACATACCTCGAGCATTTTGTCGATGTTGAACGTGACATAAATAAAATTGTCCCTGAGATTTCCATACTGAAAACCCCAAAGTCGTACTCGGTCATCATTTATACCCAGTCTCTCAGACTTTACTGTAGAAAACGAATTTAAAATTAATTTGCATCCCAAACCCTAAAACATCAAATCTTCCAGATAGAAATAAACGAATTTAAAATTAATTTACATCCCAAACCCTAAAACATCAAATCAAATCTTCCAGATAGAAATAAAGTTCTCACCGTAGCTGTAAAATCTGGAAAACAACTTAGTAAACATACTGTACTACAGAGCTGACGGTGAAACAGTGACGGTGAAACAGTGACGGACAGTGAAAGATGTGAAACAGTGACTGAAGATGTGAAACAGTGACTGGAAATTGATTTATTTGATTTAAATAATTCTAGGACATGACTTTGAACTGGACCTATAATTACAATGTGGGCCTAAAAAAGGAGGAGGAACATTAAAGGGCCGACCACATCAAGAAACAACCAAAAAAACTTTAGTTCTGGGCCGATAATTAAAGTGGGCCTTAAATGGGCCGACCATTGGGTCAATTAAAACGACAGACCTAGCTGGGAAAAAAAAAAAAAAAAAAAAAAAAATTGAACTACATATCTAGATCTAGTTCTAGACCTAACCCTAAGGTATTCCAGTTTCCTAAATGTTTATACAGTAGCCGCCCAAAAGTCAACGCTACATACAGTTGCTGTAAACCACACACAAAAAAAAAAATCCTGAATTTTCCTGCGAAGAAATAAAATTTTAAAAAGAAGAAGGAATTTTTCTGCCAAGGCAATGGAATTTTACTAAAATCAAGGCATGCTAAGAATAAATAAGAATTTTTCTTCCCAGAAGAAATAATGGGTTGTTTAATTGTTAATAGATCAAAGGTGAAAGCCATCGCCCGCCCGGAAGAAGGGATCGAGTTTGGAACCATACCAATATGAGAAATCAGGATTTCAAAATGAGTAAGTTTAAAATTCTGATAATGATGAGAACAAAATTTGAGGGAAAGGGTGAGAGTTGGAGAAAATATTGAGAAATTGGAGTTTCAAAAATCATACATACAAATCAAGAACAAAACATACCTTAGGTCTTTGAGAAGAGAAACAGGAAAAGAAAGAGACAAGAGAGTGAAAGAGAGTAGATCTGCGAATTCAGATCAAAACTGGTTCTATTGGAGGAGAGAGAAGGTACATCGAAGGAGACCCGCACGTTCGGATCTAACAGGGTCTGTTGGGGAGAGAGAGAAAGTAAAACAAAAGTACAATGTGTCAGATGCGTGTGGGGTTAAGGGTTTAAATGGACCGGGCCTAAACGTGTTTTAATAATAAGTTTAGGGTTTAAATGGACCCGGCCCTAGGCTTTGGGATGGTGGACTACCGATTTCAAACTGGACAGGTGTATTGGGTGGGCCGTTTGTCGATGTCTAAGCCAGTCAAATTTGTGATTGTTGTCGATGTCCAAACAACAGTTGCGAGACTTGTCAACGTTTACGAACATTTGCGAAGAGGTGTGACAGTTGTAGGTTAAGCCAATACAACTCGTTGAAACATTGCGTCAATGGCTGAATAGCTTGATGAATGACATTCAGTTATTGGATTAAATAGGTGCAATGGTTGGTGAACTGACACATCCGTTCTCAATAGACACCACCTCTATAAATAAAACCAATCATTTCTATTGGAAATTCACGATAAAAATGTTCACTTTTCATTCTTCTTTCTCTTTTAACATGAATCCAATCCAAGTCTTTGTAAGTTCAAGCCACAAGTTAAGTGGTCCAAGTTACTAAGATCCAAAAACAATGTGGATGAGTCATATTAAAATTGGTTCGAGCCGTTCAAGTTGTACCAATTTCATCATTTTTTTTTTTTGTATAAATGCAGTTATGAATCAGAGAGAGTATTACATAGAAGAGGTTCGTTATATCCATGAATTTGTTGTGCTGCTATTAGTGGATGTAAACTATTGTATTCTGGGAGACAAGCACCACAGAGTCCGTCAGTACCATACGGGGTGTAAATTGTCTTAAGAACATAGCATCTAATACTAACTTCAATTCAGGTTCTTTATTTTTTATTATTATTTTATTACTTTAATTTACATTTTTAATTAAATATTTAATTGAATATTTAATTAATTGTTTTTAACATATTATTAATTGACATATTAGTATTAGGTTAGTTGCAGCTTAAATAACATTTGAAGCATATAAGTTTTAAACAATTTCTACGTATTTACCAAAAAGAATAAATTAGATGTATAAGAACCAATTTTGCATTTAACAAATTGCGAGTTGTTTGTTCTGTTAGGGCATTGCTTTGTTCATGAGTGAGTGGTGCTCATTGCCCGCCCCATGACAGCACGAGTCTTCTTTTTTATTTGGGAGACTTGGACCCCAACTATCGTGGCCACTTACAAAATTTTCTTGGGTTAATTACAACGACACCCCCTGAGGTTTGCCCTATTGACAGCCATATACAACTTAGCCCTTTTTTTAACAAAGACACCCCCTGTGAGAATTTCTGATTCAAACAAACCTTTAAAACGCTTGAAAAGACGAAATTGCCCTTCAATATTTAATTCATTTTTTGGTAAAATATCAGAACTCATGAAAAATCAAATTTGCCCTTATATATATTCACTATTACATTAGTACCATCATATATACATCATATATATCAATATATATACATATAACCAATCTCAAATATATACATCATATATAAATATATATACATATATAACCAAATCTCAAAGCCTCCTTCCTCCACCTCTAGAACCGACCCATCCACATCCGCCACCGCCGCCATCTTGATCCTTCATCGCCTCTGCGTCTTGATCCGCCATCGTCGCCGCTGCCTCTTGAGCCGCCGTCGCCGTCGCTTTTTGATCAACAACAGCCGTCGTTGCCCTTCTCAACCACAGCCACCGCCACCACTTCTCAACCACAATCGCTGCCACCACTTCTCATCTACAGTCGCCGCCATCGCACCGAAGCCAACAACCACAGCCGCCGCCTCTCCCTTCTTATACTGCCACCACTTCTCAACCACAGCCGTCGTGTGACGGCCCAAGTTTTGTAAACCCGGTGCGTCAGTGATGACCAAAAGATGACCCGATAATGGATCCGAAATGCGGAAGTGAAAGGTGAAACAATGGTCTCTAGAGATACAACGCGTCTCTAAGACACCAATGTGACCCTTAATGAGGTCACTGAACCCAAAGGAAACAAATGCAGAAGTGTCGTTTCAAAAACGGACAAAAAGAACCTAGGGGCAAAATGGTCATTTTGCAAAAAGTGGATTCAGGTGCTATTGAGCACACCGCTGGAAAAGACAATGATAAATTAGTCAAGTTCAAAAAAAAGTTTACTCAATTTGGAGTCCAGACAGGGGAGAAAGGTCAAAAACAAAAATAATGTCGTGGGGGCCCGACGAGGACAACCCACCACTGCTACAACTGAGAGTAAAAACGGGCATCTAAACGGACTTTTTAGGAAAAACTCAAAGAAGAAACCCCCCCTAAAATCAAGTTTCCTACCCCGATCAATGACGGAAGCAAAACAAATGTGGTGCGACCGAGCGTGTGCACAAAATAATGCACAACACTTTAAGTTTACAAATAATGTCAAGTGTGCACCATATTTTAAAATTTATAAACCACTAAACACTTATATTATGGAGTATGAAGTGAGCAGGGATCATCCCAAGAGATCTAAACAATTATAGGTTTTCCAGAATTGAATTCTACTTTAGTGCTTATGTGATTGCTAAAAATGTTTGGTTTTGTGATTAGACTAATTTTAAACTTAATAATGCAAATAAAGAGTAGAGTATAAAAGATTGGAAAGAGACTTAGGGTGTAGGATTCACCACTAAGCACATTCCCTAACTCATTAACTTTTTACTAATTGGGGAATAAAAATGTGTAATCTAGAATGTAGCTAATAATTGCAATAAAAAGTATAAACCATCAATTTCAAGCATGAATCAACTACCTAATGACAATTAAACTAAGTGTAGTGTAATTCACCAATTCAAAGCATGATTAATCAATTTAAGTTACAATTTCAACACACATTAATCTAGAAGGTAATGCAATTGTGACAATAAGTATGGATTTCAAGCATTAGTATGGATTGTCTACTTACCTAGGAATTAAATTGCAATTAAATTAATTAACTTTAAATTAAACTAACTAAGCCTGAAATTAAACTATTTAGATAAGACATTAACCTAATTTTGTAGTACAACCCATCTAATAAAAGCAATTTCCATCAAATCAAAACACAATTACATCTAATTAATACAATGTATAGCCATCACAAGATTCAAGTCACAAAGAAATCAAGTGTAGAAATTGATTATCATTCAAAAACATAAAAGACAATATGAAATTGACATAGACAATCAAATGAAAGAATTAATGTATATATATCAAGGCTATAACATAAATTACACAAATTAATCCCCAAAAGTCAAGAGTTAAGAATTAGGTTACATGCTTAAGATTTATCCAACCCTAAGTTGAAGAATCAGCCACTCATGGTTGACGGATGCAAGATGTCAACAAGCCCCATCCTTTGATTCATCTGGCTCCTCTTCTTCTTCTCTGAGCTTTTCTTAAGAACCCTAACTTTTTCCTCTTCGTGTTTTCCAGAGAGAATAAAATATACGATACAGAATAATAATTAAAAAACTTAATAATTCTAATAATATTCACCTAAATAAAATAAATACTAACCCTAATCTAATGGCTCACTGGGCCTTAAGTAACAACCCTATTAAAACCCAATAGTTCACAAAATAAGCCCAAACAATAAAAAAAATCTGTAATATTGCCAAGTCCTGGGGGATCGATCCCCCACCCTGGGAGATCGATCCTCCCAGAGTTGGAAATTTCTTTTAAGCCCTATTTACCTCCATTTTAGTCCCGAGCTCATTAGTTTGCTTCTTCATCTTTGGGAACATCATCAAAGGCCTGAGATTGACCGCTTTTGAAGAATAAACACACTATACGAGCAATAGGCTGCGACCTCCTTTTTGCCATTTTCTGAGCTTTTTCTGAATATCTTTGCTTGACTCTAAAAAGGCTTTAATGGACTGTTCTTAGCTCATTTTAACTTTATTACCCTGAAATACACATAAACATAAATTAGGACTAAAACATGAAATTAAGATAGATACAAAGACTGAAATACCCTAACTTAGGTGCTGAAATGTGCAACATTTAAGCACTTATCACGCCCCCAAACTTAGATATTGATAGTCTCTAGCAATGAACTACAGCATGGAAATGAAATAAACATATATACAACTATAAACTAATAAAACAAATAAAGATAACACCACTTTCGTAGGGATCACGGTTGCATTTAGCATATGCAACAAGCCTTTTAAACCCCTAGGTTACCCCTAGTGGACGAGTGAAGTCTCGTGAGGGTTTCCAGAAGTGGTACCCACAAACATCAAAAGCTCTTTCTTACTTGAGAAGCAACGACACATATTAAACAAGCGTTGAAAGTAGACTACCTCAAGTATGCAAATTCTGCCATTTCTAAGCTATTCTCAACATTTCAACATCATGTAAGCAAGAATGGTCCTCCACACATCAAGCAATTAATCATACAAATTGAATCAATTCTATCATTCTTTTTGAGTGAACCAGCATCAAAATGTGTTGTTATCCTAGCAATCAAAGTAATGGCGTTGCCTTACCCTCAAACTGGCATACAGATATAATACCAATCCTCAAGACATTGAATGAACCTTGTTATTCAATCAAACATTCTTTTTTTATTGATTTCATTTTTTTTATTTATTATTATTATTTTTTTTTTTTTTATGTATGACCATGTGCAATGTCCAAGTTCCTTAAGCTCTCTAATCACCCCATGTAACAAGCGTTGAACCAACGACTCCCAAACCAGATGGTCTTAGGGCGTTAAGTGTAAAGACACTCCTAAGGGCGTAATGACTCGGAATGGTTAGGCTACGAACTCAAACTAATCATACATCTTACATTCTTCCCTTGTCTTCCTTTTTAATCAGTTGACATGTTGAAAGAATGCAGTTTTATTTATTTATTTTTATTTATTTATTTATTTTTTATTCCTCACTTTTGGTGAGTGCTTTTATTTCTTTTCTTTGCAAGGTCATTTTATCAAGAATGAAAGCTTTCAAAGCATACTAGCTCAATTGGGATAAACCAAGACAATAATCAACTAAGCATGTACCCCACAAATTGAATGCTAGTGTGCGCAAGTG